GCTTCCAAAATTTGGATAAGTCGTGCTTTGGTTAAATTACAACTCTCTTAATCCAACCAATTGCTGAATGTGTGACACCTGGACTGATGAAGACCGTCAGATCTGCTTTTGGATGGTTCTTATGCTTTATGCTCTTTCACTTGGCACGTCTCTCGAAGCGTTATGATTCTAGGGTTTCAACTTCGACTTTCCTCTCTCTCTAGCTGCGTCTCTTTGAATACCTTTCTTGTGTAAATCAAATCTTTGATTTGATTATATTGTGTAATATTTTGGCTCCTTTTTGGGGATATTCTGAGTGAATATCGGCGTAAGGTATTTGAGAAACTGTGTAGTTGTTCCTGTTGATTTAGTGTTCGATTATCTGTGATTCGAGTGGATCTACTGCTGTATAACTGAGAGATAAGCGTTCTTGTACTTTTTTTGTGATTGTTCTGAACATTCTTGTAACCTTTGTTGCCAATTTGGGCTTTATAGTGGAACGGAGCATAATCCACAACTTGGATGCTCAATGGGGAATGTAGGTGTTGGATGTGGAGTGGTTTGGAGGTCCCGAATCCGGAAAAATATATCGATTGTGTTCTTTAAATTTTGCACTTTATTTTCAGTAAACAAACTTTTACTTTTTGTTCTTGATCTAATATCGTGTGTCATGCTCCGATAGTGGTATCAGAGCCATTAGAAAAAGGGAGTAAGTTACATGGATCTTGAAGCAAAAATGCTGATTTCATAACGCTGCAAATTTTTTGGAATTACTGTTAAGCAAAAATTGTAAAATATCGAGTCTAAAACTCACTGGATGAGATCTTTCTAAACTCTTGTTAATTTATTTTCAAGACTTAGGGTTTCCTGACTTTTCCCTTGATTTACCGTGTACTACCTCCTTGATTTTAGTTTTTTTCTAAAGGCTCATGTGAGGACTTCGGAATCTGAGATTAATCAACTATGAGTGTGCACTTGGAGAATCTTACTGGAGAAATCTGTGAAACATAGTTTATGTGATCTCTGTTGCCTGGACTCTGTTTATTCTTTGTCCGTGGCTGGTAATTTTGAAATTCCTATTTGTTAATACGTGTACTACTGTGAATTTCATATTGACACATCCTTTTGAACTCTTACTATACTGTGTACACTTGCATTATTTGGTCTTGGTTGTGTAAGCTTTATCTATTTTTTAATAACTATGGCCTCTGCAAAATTTGAAGTCAGTCAATTTGATGGAAAAAT